TGACATCACAGCTCGCAGCAAACTCAAACTCTTGGGCCTAAGTGATTCTCTTGCCTCAGACTCCCAAGTAGGTGAGACTACAGGCACCCACCACAACACCCAACTATGTTATTGTTGCAGTTGTCATTGTTGTTTAGCTGGCCTGGGCCGGGTTTGAATCTGCCTACTTCGGTGTATGTGGCTGGCGTCATAACCACCGTGCTACAGGCGCCGAGCCAAGGGTGAAAGCTTTTTAGAACTCACTCTAAAGAAGAGTTTTAGGGCCGGGCATGGTAGCTCACACCTGTAATCCCAGCACATTAGCAATTTGAGGTGGGAGAATCACTTAAGGCCAGGAGTTTGAGACCAGCACCAAAATATATATATAGAGAGAGAGAGAGAAATTAGCCATGTGTGGTGGCTCACACCTGTTGTCCCAGCTACTCCAGAGGCTGAGCCAAAAGGATAAATCCAAGAAAGTAGACAATGTTGTTATCTTATACAACCTTATTAACTACAAATACAGTACTTTAAAATACTGAAAAGTGGGGCTGGGCACAGTGGCTCACACCTGTAATCCTAACACTTGGGAGACTGAGGTAGAGGTGGACTACTCTCATGGGTTCAAGATCAGCCTGAGCAAGAGCGAGACCTCATCTCTAAAAATAGTCGGGCATTGAGGGCGGGCGCCTGTTATCCCAGTTACTCAGGAGACTGAGGCAAGAGAATCGCTTGAGCCCAAGAGCTTGAGGCTGCCGCGAGCTATGACTCCATAGCATTCTACCAAGGGTGACAAAGTAAGACTCTGTCTCAAAAACAAATAAATAAAATAAAATACTGAAAAATGATTCACATGCCCCATTTCTGTCATGACAGTTAGAACCCTAAACATCTACATAACATTTAAAGGAACCCTGTTCTAGGTCCAACCATCAATTCACAGGGAACCATAGAGGACAGAGGATTACATTAAATGGCACCACAGAGATGCATTCAGCTAACTGTAGGCTAGAAAATTCCAGATGAGGAACACGATTTCTTCAACAAATAAATTTTAAGGGAAAAAAAGATTAAGACATACATAAAAGGCTTTTTTTTTTTTTTTAGAGACAGAGTCTCACTTTATCGCCCTTGGTAGAGTACCATAGTGTCACAGCTCACAGCAACCTCCAACTCCTGGGCTTAAGTGATTCTCTTGCCTCAGCCTTTTGAGTAGCTGGGACTACAGGTGCCCCCCAGCGAATGCCCGGCTATTTTTTTGTTGCAGTTTGGCTGAGGCCGGGTTCAAACCTGCCACCCTCAGTAGATGGGGCAGGTGCCCTACGCACTGCACCACAGGTGCTGCCCACATAAAAGACTTTTCTAAAGTCTTATCAACCAATTGCAGTGTCTTGCATCTTACCTGGATTATGAGTTGAAGAATTTTTTAAAAAATGAAAAGTGGGCAGCACTTGTGGCTCAGTGAGTAGGGCGCTGGCCCTACATGCTGAGGGTAGCAGGTTCAAACCTAGCCCCAGCCGAACTGCAAACAAAAAATAGCTGGGCATTGTGGCAGGCAACTGTAGTCCCAGCTACTCGGGAGGCTGAGGCAAGAGAATCGCTTAAGCCCAGGAGTTGGAGGTTGCTGTGAGCAGTGTGATACCATTGCACTCTACCAAGGGCAACAAAGTGAGACTGTTTCTATAAAAAAAAAATAAAAAATAAATAAGTAAAAAGCTAATGACATTTTGAGATAACTGACAATTTGAACACTGGATATTTGGTGATATTAAAGGATTGTATTTAGCCAGGCATGTGGCAGGCAACTGTAGTCCCAGCTACTTGGGAGGCTGAGGCAAGAGAATTGCTTAAGCCCAAGAGTTAGTAGTTGCTGTGAGCTGTGATGCCAAGCTACTCTACTGAGGGCAACATACTGAGATTCTGTCTCAAAATTAATTAATTAATTAATTAATAATGGATCATATTGATAATTATTTTTTAGGTGTGATACGATACTATGGTTACTTTTTTAAAAAGAGTCCTTATTTGTTAAATACATACTAAAATATTTAGAGATGAAATCAATAATGTTGGGATTTGCTTCAGATGTATTGAGGGGGATAGTGACAGATACAAATAAAATAATACTGGCAGGAGCTGATGATGGCTGATCACACGTGTGATACATAAACTATTCTGTCCACTTCTGTACATGTCTAAAATTGTTCCTAATAAAAGGTATAAAAGAGGTAATGTGGATTCTTCTAACCAAAAAAGACTTTAACATTGACTTATAAAAGACATTTCTGATATAAAATAAGTGGAAAAAGGCAGAAAACAAAACATGTGCTATGATCAAAATTATGGAAAAATATATTTGCATATGAACAGGGAATAGAGAAAACAAAAAAACAACAAAAAAAGTTTTCCAGTATTTCTGGGTCATTTCCCTCTTATCTTAGGAAATAGTTCATATTGTTCTCATAGTATTATTGGCAAACGTCTACTTACTTAAATATCATTATAAGTTATTTCTAACATTTTTACAATCTAAGTTTCAAACATTTAGAATAAAACTTCTATCTTAAGGATTTCATTGCTCTTTTCTCCAAAACATATTTTTGGCAGAGTATTTCAGGCTGTCTCCAAGGTAGGAAAAGGTCATCTCTTTGGGGCCAAAAAGGAACACCAATGTTGTTACCAAAGAGGCCAAAATATATAATCTAGTCCAGATTGTTTCAAATGACATCCCTTTAAGACTCCATCTATTTAGGCCAGGCACAGTGCCTCACATCTCTAATCCTAGCACTCTGGGAGGCTG